ATCTCCATTGCCAGACTGAGCACAGCAAGTTCTGCGGCACTCAAGCCATCTCCCAGCCAGGGGGCGCAGGGAAAGAAGTATCAAACAATCTCTGCAAGGCACACAAATAACTATGCAGGAGATCCCGGTCGGCCACCTCATGGCTTGCCACTCCTCCCGGTATTTCAAAAGGGCCAAATCCCCACCACAGCAGTCCTATCACTGTTTGGGTAACTGTCTACAGAACCCACGATCCACACTGGGAAGCTGTTGCCAAAATGCAAAGGAAAAAACACGGCTAGGCACTGTCTGCCAAGGGTGCTCAGATTCCAGGCTTATCTGCAGGAGCAGCGTGTCTTCTCAGGCAAAAGGGTTTTTGCCATCTTAAAGAGTCACCCCCTGGTTCATCGGAGATTCACCAACTGGGGAGCTGCAAACAGGACATTTACGAATCTGCTGAAAGACAGTTTGGTGCTCGCATACTGCTTACCACCATGACCCAGCTTGGTAACATTTAGGAATTAGCTTGAGGTTTTATCTTTTCATTTCTTTTGTAACCAATTCTGACTTTTGTGCCTTACCACTTAAAATCTCTCTCTCGTTAATAAACATGTTTTATTGTTTGATCTACACCAGTGTGTTTGGGAAACCTCTACTTGAAATAACAAAGGCTGGGGCATAAACATTACCCGTTGTTGGAATGTCGGACTAGCTATGAGCTTATACTGTCCCACCCCCAGCTGGAAGTGTAGACATGGCTTTAATCACTGCATCGTATTCGCAGGTCTGTAGAGTACATTGATACAGCAAGAGCTGCTTCCAAGCACAGAAGAGCAACCTACATTACAGTCACCCCATTACAGAGCTTCCGCTCACTTAGCTGGACTCCGGAGCCGATACTCACCAATGCACTTCACTGTTGGATCAATGAATGGTTCTGCCCCAAAACTAGGCACAAACCCGCCTTTGCAGGTGCAGTGGTAGCCCCCAGGGATGTTTTTGCAAGTTGCAAGATCAGGACAAGTAGACAAATTCGCACACATGTCAGCTGCGAGAGGAAAAAGGAACCATGTCATTTAAAGAAAGCAATAAATAACCCTTTGCACCTTTTCTTTGACTTCTTCAGTGTGGTTCATATTCATTCATTAAGCTGGTTAATCATGCAGCGAGGGAGAAAGCGTGGACCTAACAGAGCAGGTGGCTGAGATGGGAGGATCAAGGCAGCTGGCCTCTCTTCTCGAAATATCAGGCAAAGAATCAAGAAAAGGCCTCCATCCCTCTCCCCTGAAGCCAGGAAAAGCAGGAGGACATAGGATGCGTAGCTGTGACACCCTCTACCCCATGTTCACCACTTTTATATGGCTATGATCTATGTTGTACAAAGTATTCCCTGTGAGGTATCATTTGGAAACTCATAATCTGATGAATATTATTATCCTGTTGAAATGTGTGTAACAAACACTGCATGTGATATTATGAGATTTTGCTGTATGATTATTACTGAAATATGTTGTAATTCCTGGGTAGTCCTCATTGGCCAGTTCTTCAGACACAAGAACACACTGGCATGACAGCAACATGCTAAAGTCATCCCCGTTTAATGGGAGATTCACCAACTGGGGAGTTCTCAACGCGAAATGTACAAATCAGCTGAAAGACAGTTTGGTGCTCACATACTGCCCCCCCCACAGGACCCAACAAGGGTATTTCCAGCACCCAAGGATTGGGGTGTAAGAAGGGGGACAAAAATACCCGTCACCACCTCTCCTGTCTACCTTATCTCTCTCTGCTGGTAACATCAATGAAGTCGTGAAAAACACTGAACTAAGGGGAGTGGTTCCAGAATGAAAGGAAATCCAGCCTCTGTACTGAGATCCGCCTGCAGCATCTGGTGTGGTGAGAAAGATGTTGGCTTCAAATCTTATTTAGCTCGGTAACATTTAGGAATTAACTTGAGGTTTTATCTTTTTATTTCTTTTGTAACCAATTCTGATTTTTGGGCCTTACCACTAAAAATCTCTCACTCTCTCTCTCACACACATTAATAAACATGTTTTATGCTTTTATCTACACCAGTGTGTTTGGGAAATCTCTACTTGAGATAACAAAGGCTGGGGCAGAAACATTACCCTTTGTTGGAATCGGACTATCTATGAGCTTGTACTGTCCAAGGGTCTATTCGGCAGTTTAAGACACACGTTTCTGGGGAGCCCAGGCTGGGAGTGGGGATATGTGGGTGTCGCAGTGTATCTATCCATGGATGGCTAGGACAGCATTCAGGTAGAGATCTGGGAGTGATTTTGCAGGCTGGTATCTGTGCATGAGCAGACCAGGAGTTTCTGGTCTGACAATAAAGCAGCGTAAAAGGAACCCCAGATTGAGGGGTCAGGTTGCACCCTGGGGAATTTCACAGTAGGAATGAAGGATGGGAGGTGGGGGTAGGGAGGTTCTGATCCTGTGGATCCTACAGTCAGTTTTAGTCCAGAATGGGTTACCTAGGGAGGTGGTGGAATCTCCATCCTTAGAGGTTTTTAAGACCCAGATGGACAAAGCCGTGGCTGGGATGATTTAGTTGGTGTTGGTCCTGTTTTGAGCAGGGGGTTGGACTAGATGACCTCTTGAGGTCTCTTCCAACCCTAATCTTCTATGATTGGATGATTCTATGGCAGTTGAGGGTAGGGAGGTTCTGATCCCGTGGACAGGCTACAGTGAGTTTTAGTCCAGAAACAGACTAATCCCCCACTAAGGTCACCGCTTTGTCTTAGAATCCATGTCCACCACCAGCAGCAGGAAGAAATAATTTTGAAGGGTTCTGGTTACGTTGCTGTCAGTAAAGATCTTGACTCCAGAGCTCAATGCATGGCCATCGCTGCAAGCATAAAAGTAACTCCAAAGGTCATGGTGTGAGTGGCCTGGCAAGTTTTCCATGCTGAGACACTCATCCACGCAGAACTGACAGAACCAACCCTGGCCAGATGCTGGGTGGGGACTCAGAAGTACTGGGTGCAATTCCTAGCCCTGGCCTGCTCTGTGCCTTGGGCAAAGCACTTCCCCATGCCGTGCTGGTGTTTTCACTTTGTTTATTTAGATTGTGTTCTCTTTGGGGTTAGGGACTCTCTCCCCCTCCATGTCTGTGCAACATCCAGCCCGATGTGGCCTTTCTCTTTGTGGAGGCCTCTACGAGCTACAAGAACACAGATACAAAAATAACCCTTTGCACCTCTTGTGCACCTTTCATCCACATTTTCAAAGCACTTTGCAAGCTTTAATTCATTCTTTAATTAACCCAGCCAACCCCACTGCAAGAATCAGCCTCCATCCATCCAACTGCACACACTCACATTACAATGAAAGACCATTAGAAAGGTTGCAAAGTCAAACACTCAGACGTTGGGGAGTGCCAGAATTAAGGTTGCCAGTCCTGTGTAGCTCTGTGACTTGAGTAACAGAGCGCTCGTAGGTTGTCTGTATCTATGTGGAGCAGCATTAGAGGGCTGAAGCACTTAGCCAGCGGGTTTCACAAATGTTTGCTGACAGTGGAGGAATGGGGAGACTCTGGAATCTTGGCTTCCATTCCAGGCTCTGAATGGGAGTGTGGGGGGAGACTCTTCTGCATACTCCACCCCAAGCTTGGCTCCTTCAGCCTCACCCCCCCGAACTTATCCCTGTCCCAGAGCTGTCTCTTCCCATCCCTGGCTCTTGTCCCTGTCCCAATTGGAACGCCTCAGGTGTCTCATCCCAGTCCCAGTCTCCCCCTGCACCCAATCCTCCCCAGCCAGTCCCAGTTCCCCTGCATCCCGGCTCCTCATCCCATTTCTCTCTCTCCACCCCTCTTAATTTCCAGCTGTGCCCACTGCCCCACTGCCGCCAACATTCCCCAGTCCCACTGAGTCCCAGTGTCCCTCAGTCCAATCTCAGTGTTGTTCCCCCAGGCCAGCTCCTCGACCAAGTCTCTTTATCTGGCCAGTCCCATCATCCCCCTACACCCTGTTGCCTGGACAGATCTATCTCCCCACCCTAGTTCCACACACTGGTTTCCAGTCCCAGTTGAAATTGAAATTAATGGAGATATCCTATCTCCTAGAACTGGAAGGGACCTTGAAAGGTCATCAAGTCCAGCCCCCTGCCTTCACTAGCAGGACCAAGTACCCATTTTGCCCCAGATTCCTAAGTGGCCCCCTCAAGGATTGAACTCACAACCCTGGGTTTAGCAGGCCAATGCTCAAACCACTGAGCTATCCCTCCCCCATTTCCTCATCCAATCTCAGTCTCCTCCACCAAAAACTGTCTCTCAGTTTGCCCCCTCTGCCCCCATTCCCCTTCCCAGCTCCCAGGCTCAGTCTCCACCACTAACCTCTACAGGTTAACATGGCATTGCATAAAACAAAAGCATTTCCTTTTGTCTGTTATGGGGCCAGACTGTGATTAACAACCTCCCCCCAAACCCTCTCCACAGGCTGCACAAGGGTCACTGATTCCTCCCTGCCCCTCCTGGTGGTTCGTGGTGCCTCAAAATACGGTGGGTAAAGAGGTGGGGCCATAATATGCTCCTCCCCTCTGCACTTGCCAAAGGATCTGTCTGGCCACATGAAGATGGAATTGCAACATGTGAAGAATGTAATGGGGGTGGGGGCGGGACATTCCCCCTACACCTTGGGCTGCTCAGGGAAAGATTCAGCCCCAACAGGGCTGTAACAGCTCCATGCCACCCCTGCCTAGGGCTCTGTGTCTATTGCACAGTCTAATCTTAACCTGCCGCTTTTCAGTTTTACTGGACATCCCCTGGTTCGTGGGGGGACAGGTTGACAGGTGTTGGGGCTGCGCATCATCCCTTTCCTGCACTTCGAGCTGGGGGTGTAATTCCCCAGCTAGCGCGCTAGAAGTAGAGATCGCTGTAGCAGTGTGATCTAAGGCACGAGGGGCAACTAGCCCATCCCACTTGCACCGGCCTGGCTACCCTCTATTGTTAGCATGCTAGCTCCTCGAGCTGGGAATCACACCTCCAGCTGGACGTGTAGACATGGCCTTAGTCACTGCGTCGGTTCGCCAGTCAGTAGAGTGCATTGATACATAGCTTTTCTGGCAAGAGCTTCTCCCAAGGGCATTAGAGCAACCTACACTACAGTCGCCCCATTACACAGTTCTCCCTCACTTAGCTGGGCTCCGGAGTCGATACTCACCGACACACTTCACTCTTGGATCAGTGAATGGTTCCTCCCCAAAACTAGGCACAAACCCGCCTTTGCAGGTGCAGTGGTAGCCCCCAGGGATGTTTTCGCAAGTTGCAAGAGCAGGACAAGTAGACGAATTCGCACACATGTCAACTGTGAAAGGAAGAAGGAATCGTGTCATTGAAAGAGAGCAGCGGATAACCCTTTGCACCTTTTGTTTGACTTCTTCAGTGTGGTTCACATTCATTCATTAAGCTGGTTAATCATGCAGCGAGGAAGAAAGGGTGGACCTAACAGAGCAGGTGGCTGGAGTGGGAGAACCAAGCCAGCCGGCTGACACTTCTAAAGGCATCAGGTGAGGGAACAAATCCCTCCACCCCCCCTGAAGCCCCAAAAGGAAAAGCAGGAGGCGGTGGGGAAGGTATGGATGGAGGACTGATGTTGGGGGCAGGGAGGATCTGAGCTGGCTCCAAGGGTTTTTTTTTTCAGAAACCAATCAACCATCATATGGGTTTCCTAGTCTGCACCAGTGAGTCCCACAGGCTGACACTAAATTGTGTAAAATCAAAGCCTTGCTTTTTATCCATTTGATTGTGACTGGCCCCGACATGGCACACAGGAGGCGGGATGCACACAGGAAACCTCCCCACCGCACCCTCTCCAGCAGCTGCGTGAGGTACATTCCTTCCTCCTGGTGGATCACAGTCCCCCAAATGGGGGTGGAGAAATGGGTAGGGCCACAGTATGCTCCTCCCCTCCGCACTTGCCCAAGGTCTCTCCAACCACATAGAGGGATTCCCCCAGAAGAATGTAAGGGTGCATAGGGACCCCCACATCCCTGGGTGGCTCGGCAGCTTCCCCACCCAGGGCTGTGTGCAGTTTGGACATAGCCGCTTTCCAGTTTCATTGGACGTCCCTGACTTCATTGATGGCCAGATTAAGAGACAGGGGAAGCCAAGTCATTACATTTCCTGGCCCCAGATCGTTCCTTCCTCGGTCTCTTAGTCACATTTCCAGTCAGTAAAGCTCTTTTTGATAGTGCTCAATGCATCCCCTTCTTTGCAAGCTCAACCGCATTAGAGCAAGTGACAGAACTGTCTCTCCTTTCCAGGGCTCCCCCTTACTTAGGTTGACTCAGGAGCTCAGTCACCTTTGCATTGAACTGTTGGATCAGTGAAGTCTGGGTCCCTTGAAGTGGATACAAACCCAGGTCGGCAGGTGCAGTGCTGGCCCTGGAGAGCATTGATACACATTGCGTTTGTAGGGCACACAGATTGATCGTCACACCTGTTAGCTGTAAAATGAAGAAGGAACCATGGAACCAGCACAGTCATTTAATTAAAACACAGCCCTATTTAGCCACCAGTGGAGCATGTGGCTTTCTGGTGAGTGGGGAAGAAGGAGGCAGAGACAAAAATCAAGAGATCAGAAGCAGGGACAGCTCTGGCTTTTTTGCCGCCCCAAGCAAAACAAAAAAAACCGTGCAGGGTGGCCGGAGCGGTGAAGCAAAACATTTCAGTGCCACTTACTTGGCGGGGGTTGTGGTTGCCTCCCCCGACCGCACTGGCGAGCCTCTGGGCGGGCAGCGGCTGTACTCTGGCTAGCGGGACTCCCTACGCTGCAGACGCGCCCCAGGCTAGTGGGGGGGAGGAGGCGAGAGCGGGGGGGAGAAAAAGAAGGGGGGCGGGCAGGGCTTCCTTCAGCCAGGGCGCTCGCCACTCGGCCCCTCCCGCTGCACCGCCTGCTGGGAGGGCTCCGCTCCCCTCCCGCCTGCAGGTGAATTGAAGGTTGGTGGAGGGGGGGGTGGGAAGACACGGGCTGCCGGGCTTGCTGCAGACCTGGCACCGGCTGGAGCACACGGAGCAAGCAGGGCGCTCCCCTCCGCCGCGCCACCGCCCCCTACAGGGCGGCCGGAGCGGCGAACCAAAAGAAAAAAGAAAAAAAGGGCGGCCGTGCCACCCTAGGATTGGATGGAATGCCGCCCCTTAGAATCTGCCACCCCAAGCACGAGCTTGCTCGGATGGTGCCTGGTGCCGGCCCTGATCAGAAGAGAATGAAAAATATACATAGAGACATAAGGAGGAAATGGGATGGAAAGTTCTTTGCCCGTTCAAAGCCCCCCTCCAGTTGCAGGCCACGCCGAGGTTCGGATCTGGAGTATTTTATCCATGTTCCTAGGCATCAACTTACGAGCGCTGGTGAAACATTGAGTCCCCTTGAAGCAGACGAGCCAGCAAAAGCCTGAAAGAGGAGAAACAACCAAGGATGCTCTTACTGCACTGAGTTTTAGTGCTGTTACCCTGTAGGAGGCTGTGTTGCCTAGTGGATAGAGCAGCAGGCTGGGAGATCAGGGTGTTAATCCTGGCTCAGTCACTGACCTGCCAGTTGACCTTGGACAAGTCCTTACCCCTCTCAGTTTCCCCTGGATCCTTCTTTTCTATTTAAACTGTAAGTTCAAGGCGAGCATTGTGTCCCCACAGTGCCTAGCACAGAAAGGCCCTGATACTGGTGGAGACACCCAAGCACTTCTGGAATATAGTTTATAGATAATAAAAGCAATTTTGGGGGATTTTCAGTGGGCCAAACCGTCCTCATGGGGAGGATGGGGACCTGTAAAACAGTAGGGTTGGAAGGATTCAATTTTTATTATTAGATGTTGGTAAACGTCAATTTCGCCATACACACGGAAACCCATGAAAAAATATTTCCATCAATAACTATTGAAATTGACCGATAGGAAAAATAAGAAAAATGCAGCTTGAGAACTTATTACGGTTTGATTTCAGCATATTTACTTTATATATTGTAACGTGATATTAACAATTTGTGTTTTAACAATTACAGAGCTTTAACTTTTTGAATCTCAAAGTCTATTGTCATTAGACAAATACTGTCTGACTCCCCCCATGGCCTGACCCTTCCAGTTTCTGAGAAAATTTAAATCGATACAAATAAAAAAATAAAATCAAGTTGTGCTCAGCCTACAAACCAGTGTGGCGCTATTAACTTTAGCAGAGCTACAGCGACTGATGAGCTGGCCTCAGTCGTTAAACCCAAAGGGAGTTTTGTCTGCGTAAACACTGAGTGAGGACACTCAAGGTTTGTCTCGTTCCCACGCCAACACTGTAAGAGAATGACTCACTTCTCCTATTACCCAATGTCCCCACTGCACAT